GAATTCAAAGAAGCTGGTACGTGGAATTCCTGCAATTAAGAAGCCTGAGAAGTCATGCAAAGTTTGCATGGAAGGAAAACAACCACGTTTGCCATTTGCGTCAGAAGTTGCTCCAAGAGCAAAACATGCCTTGGGAGTTGTACATTCTGATGTGTGTGGTCCATTTCCAGTAGCATCAATTGGAGGGAATAAGTACTTTGTGTTGTTTGTTGATAAATTCACAAGAATGACATGGGTATCCCTTATTAAATTTAAACATGAGGTGTTTGATGAATTCAAGAAGTTCAGAATGAAGGCTGAGAATCAGAGTGGTCAGAAGTTGAAGATTCTTACAACTGATGGTGGAGGTGAGTATAACTCCAAAGAGTTCCAGAAGTTCTGTGAGGAGAATGGAATTGAGCATGAGGTTACTGCTCCTTATACCCCTCAACACAATGGTCTTGCTGAAAGAAGAAACCGTACTTTGCTTGATATGGTGAGAAGCATGCTAAAGGAGAAGAAGCTTCCTCAGAAGCTCTGGGGAGAAGCTGTTGCCACTGCAACGTATGTACTCAACAGATGTCCTACGAAGAAGTTGAAGGAAATAGTTCCTATGCAGAAGTGGACTGGAGACAAGCAAAGTGTTAGTCATCTGAAGGTGTTTGGTTCTGTTTGCTATAAACATGTTCCAGAAGCCAGAAGACAGAAGCTGGATGATAGAAGCAAAGTGATGATTCTGATAGGGTACCACAGTACAGGTGCATACAAGCTCTATTGTCCAGAAACCAATAAAATTGAATTCAGCAGAGATGTGATTGTGAAGGAATCAGAAGTTTGGAATTGGGATAAGTTTCAATCTGATTCTGATGTTAGAACTTCTGAAGAAAGGTCAGAGTTAAGAATTTCTGAAGTTGAAGTAAACTCTGACGTTGATTCTGACTCTGGAGAAGACTCAGAAGATGAAGGTGACTCTGATGATCCAGACTCTGATGGTAATCCAGATTCTGGTGGAAATTCAGACTCTGAAGATGGCCAAGACTCTGAAAATATGCCAGATCTTGAAGATGGTCAAAGCTCTAGAGGAAGTCAACCATCTGAAGCTGGAAACTCTGAAGCTCAAGACTCTGAACAAGTTCAGAGACCACAAAGAATCAGAAGCGTTCCTAGAAGATTTGTAGAATTTGACATGCTGCAAAACACTGAAGTAGACTCTGAAGGAGAAGTTATTCAGTGTGCCATGTTAGTAGACTCTGAACCCATAAGTACAGAAGAGGCTCTTAAGCAGAAGCTCTGGCTGAAGGCCATGAAAGAAGAACTTGATGCTATAGAGAGAAACAAGACTTGGAAACTGACAGAACTTCCAAAAGACAAGAAAGCCATTAGCGTCAGATGGGTTTTCAAGCAGAAGTTAAAGCCAGATGGCTCAATAGGCAAACATAAAGCAAGGTTGGTAGCCAGAGGATTTCTACAAAAACCTGGGTTGGATTACTCTGAAGTGTTTGCACCTGTAGCAAGACATGAAACAATCAGAATGGTGATTGCAATAGCTGCTAAAAGGAATTGGCCTCTGATGCATTTAGATGTAAAATCTGCATTTCTGAACGGTCCATTAGAAGAAGAAGTTTACGTGTCACAACCTCCTGGATTTGTGAAAAAGAATCAGGAAGGGATGGTGTACAGATTATACAAAGCTCTATATGGATTGAAACAAGCGCTCAGAGCTTGGAATCAGAAGATTGATTCATTTTTCAAGAAGCAAGGCTTTCAGAAATGTGAGATGGAGTACGGTGTTTATGTTCAGCATACTTTTGAAGGCAATATGACTCTGGTATGTTTATATGTTGATGATATACTGCTGACTGGAAGTTCTGAACAGGAGATAACCAAGTTTAAGAAGGTTATAATGAATGAATTTGAAATGACTGATCTAGGCAAAATGACATACTTTCTAGGGATGGAGTTCAGATATTCTGAGAAAGGTATCATTTTGCATCAACTCAAGTATGAATTAGAACTTCTGAAGAGATTTGATCTGAAGAATTGTAAGATGGCTGTCACACCTTCTGATACAAATCAGAAACTGGATTCAGACTCTGAAGGAAAGGATGTGGACGCTACAACCTTCAAACAGTTGGTTGGTTCTCTGAGGTATCTGTGCAATACCAGACCTGATATTTGCTACTCAGTTGGGATGGTTAGTAGGTTCATGAGTAAACCTAAGTGGTCCCATTACCAAGCTGCTGTCAGGATTCTGAGGTATATCAAGGGAACTCTGAAGTATGGAGTGTTATTTCCCTCTGGAGGAAATAATGAGTCAGAACTTCTGAGTTATTCAGACTCTGATTGGTGTGGAGACAGAGTTGACAGAAGAAGTACATCTGGGTACTTGTTCAAATTTCTGGGAGGTTCTATTTCTTGGTGTTCCAAGAAGCAACCTGTTGTGGCGTTGTCAACCTGTGAAGCTGAATACATTGCAGGTGCTGTTACTGCATGCCAAGCTGTGTGGATTCTGAATCTGTTGCAGGATCTGAAGATTAAAGTAGACAAACCTCTGAAGTTGATGATTGACAACAAGTCTGCAATCAATCTTGCCAGAAACCCAGTGTTGCATGGGAGAAGCAAGCATATTGAGACCAAGTATCATTTTCTGAGACATCAAGTTCAGAGTGGAGTGTTAGAAGTTGTACACTGCAGCACTCAGAAGAAGTTGGCAGATGTTCTGACGAAAGCTATCAAGACTGATCAATTTCTCAGACTAAGGGATGGAATTGGCGTTACAAGTTTTGATGGAATATGAATTAAGGGATGGTATTAGAATATTAATAGTAATTCATATTTATTTAGTTGTACTATTTTCTTAGCCCTTAAGTTTGTTAGAGGGTATTTTAGTATTTAATCTTATTCTAGTAACCCTAGTTTCAGCTTATAAATAGGGTGACAATTATTGTAACTTTAATCATGTTTTTGTAGCCGTCATTCTTAATAGAATATTTTCTCCTTTTCATCATTTATTCTACCTTTGCACCAACACCTTGTTGTAAGCCATATCTACGGTATGACATTCTTGCCAATACATTGGCATATAAAGCACTGATGATGCAATATTTCATTTGCAGCAGCTATAACAACTTCATTTACAAAACCACATTGGGCTACAACTCACTCAAAATTCAAAACCATGAATACGAGTCATATCCTCATGTTTACAAAATTTTGATAACCAACACAGCTATTCCATAAATTAATTTGACGAACCAATATAAAATACTTTTTATCTTCTCAGTATTTAATATGAAAATGTGGTATCATACCATCCAAAAGACAAATTTGGATATATGAAGACCAGATGAATATAGTTGTTTAACCGTAACTATCATTTTAGATGGTAACGGCCAAAAGATAAACTTCGATCCGTGACGGCCAAATTTTACATATGAAGGCCAAGTGAATAGAATTGGTTAACTGTAACTACTAACTATCATTTAAGACAGTAGCAACTTAAAGACAAACTTGGACATTTGAGGGCTAAATTTTTTATAACTGTTATATTTAAAATTGTGAATGTGTTTATGTGCGCTAGACTTGCCAAGCTAATGATGGTTTGATGAGTTGGTGTTAGCCTATACGCCATTCATGACCTAAGAGTGGATCGTGTCATGATATTTGAATGTCAAGAATCATGTTTGGTACATGAAGAAAAACAGAATCTCAACTTGTGTGTTTGGTTAAACCAAATCTACCAATGATAAAGCAGAATACAGTTCATGCCACCACCAAGGCATAAAAAATTTCAAATGGCTCTACAGCTAACTTCTCCTGGTTGCAAACCACAGAAACTACAGCGTTCCATATATTCTCATTGCAAAAATCTCCTTTACTTGCCATCTCGCTCAAAACTGTAGACAGCAACTCAAAGTTCCCTTCCTTGCACAAAGCACCAATAAATCTCATCCAAGACAAATGCGGTTTCCTGGAACTGCATCCCCCGGCAAAGCCCATCAAACAGTGTACGGTAAGTGACAACATCGGGAACATACTTTCGTCGTGGCATATCCAGAAACAAATCATTTGCTTCACTCCATTTGCCTTCTACCAGATCTTACACCAAAAGTGCATTTGTTGGGATTTAATCTCAGTTTGAATTTTCTCAGTCTTACATAACCAACCAATCACCATATTGTAGCCAAAAACATCAGGCTTAATGCCTTCCACCCCATCCAAAATCCTATAAACTTCTTCGAAATTCTTCTCTCTACAAAACTCTCCAATCATTACATTACAAGTAACCGAATTCCAATGGCAACCACTCTCCTTCATTTCTTCCAAAACCCTTAAAGCATCTTCTTTTCTCCCCGCCTTAAAAAGCGCATTGATCGAAGTGTTATAAACAACTGCATCTAACCTCAAGTTATTCCTATCCATCTCATCCTTGATTCTAAATGCCCAATCAAGTTCTCCAATCTCACAAACTCCTTTAACCAAGTCAGTAAAGCATCAATTTTTTCATTTGGAAAGCTTCATGCAGGCGCGAATTCTTGCAAACGTAAATTAGAATGAATACCACTAAGTTTAAATATGAAAGATGAAGTATTTTTACGAGCAGTACATTGATGTCTAGTGTGCCCTTAATATTGGGTAAGTATAAAACAACCCAAGTCCTCAGTTACAAATGGTACAAATGAGGTGACCCAAGTATCAACTTGTCCACGTCCCTTCCTTCTACCGGGTCATGTCTTGGGACATCTTACCACCTCATATTTTTTCCAGATTCGGGTCAGACCTAAGCCAAATCTCTCAGTCCTAACAGGTCTGCAGGCTGGGACAGGTCCTGTACACCCCCAAGTCAGCATAATTAACCATTTGTTGATAGTTGAAATTCCTATTTGAGGTTGAATATTTTTTATCAAGAACAATTTCTGAACCAAAACATTCAGTGAAAGTATGAGGCGGAAGTACTTGGATTGCAATCATCCATCCGTTACACAGGGAGAGAAGCTGGCAGACACCAGAAAATTCAACTTCTAAACAACAACTTGTAAAGAACTCTTGATGTCCCACAAATCAACATTTTGTCTACCACAGAGTGCCACAAATTTATCATTAAATTGCAATAAAGGACACTTATCTATCAAGTTCGAACCAACATAACCATCTTTGAGAAAAACAGTACTCCTTACACCTTTATTAGTGAGGTAAAATATCCCATGATGCTTTATTAAGCAAAGAAGCAATTGTGACGGCAAAAAACACTCTGCATGAAATGCGTCTAGCTGGGAAGATGTCATCCTCCTCTCCATGGTCAAGCTGAGGAGCTCATGAATCACCCCCAAGGCCCGTTTTCGAGTTTTCGGATCTGCAGTATCAAACCTTCTTGCATTCAAATAAGGTGAAGGAAACTCCAATTTCTGCCACCGCTCAAACTGTTCAAGGAAATTAACATTTGGCCTAAAACCAGCAGGAAAGTTCACTTTAAATGCAAATGGACCAGCATAGTTTCCATCTCTTGAAATCTTCACCTTCGTATCCACGCTTGGTTTCATGTTCGCAACAACTCCTTCCCGTGCCAACCTATTGTATATTTGGAATTAGTTATTTGATATCCAAACTAATTTATAATTACACTTCCACTTAAAACAAGAAAAAAAATACTTCACTAACTTTACAAACTTACTCAAATAAGTAACCCAATAAGTGTGTGTTTGGATTTAATGTGGAAAGCACATTTGATTGTAAGAAAATATAGAGATCATCTCATTAATTGAGATCAACTTTCGCATAATTTTCAATCCAAGATTATATTTCTATCCAAATCATTAATATCGAGATCTTTCATAATAACTTTTCAGATAATTTTTCTAAGTTTTCCTCTACTACTAATTTTTTGAGTTCTCTCCATCTGATCTCACTATCAACTTTGACTTAATCCTGCCTATGTTAGCTTTGATATACATAGCATATCCCAGACCCCGATAAAATGATAAGGTTGTGTTAGGCCGTCGACTAAGCCCCAATAAAATGATAAGGTTGTGTTAGGCCATGGACAGTCAACAATCAACTTAAAACTTTATCACATGCATCAACTAAAATAACAAATGACAAAAAAAATTCAATTCTAAACACACACAAAGTCTCTTGCAATTGTTATAGACTAATTTGAAAACCTCTATTGCAAAAGCAATATAGAACCATAATCCCTGCGTTATAGGAAAATTCAAAAATGCGCCTAGCAGCTTAACAAAAACAAAAAATTCAAAATAAACAAAAGATTTACCTAGTTTCTCTCGCAGTAACAGCCAAAGTAGAATCCCAATCCTCCAAATAAACATAATCCCTTCCGTTGAAAGCCCTAACAGAAAAGAACTGAGGGTACTTATCAATCAAACACCCTTTAAAATCACAAGGCAAACCCATCTCAGGCCCAACAAACTCAACCGTTTCAAGTGGAATCCTACAGTCAACACAAAGCATAAGCATCTTCCTAAGATTATTAACCAAAATCGGCTCCATCAAAACTCGGGCCCGGGATTCTTCGTGGGCCACTCGGCGGGCCTTATCAGTGAAATGAACGAAAGGGGGAGATCCTGTAACGCGGAAAATGGTGGGGTGTTTTTCAATGAGGGCCATGAAGTCCCATTTGCGAACAAAGCCGACATTTTTCTCGAGGTCACGGAGGAAGAGAGGGTTGTTTTTGGGTTGGGATTGGATTATGGATTTGAGTTCGAGGATTGTAGTTGGTGTCTTACGAAGCTCCATTACTCTGTCGAGTTCGGGAACTCTGTGGTATGTTTTCTTCTTTGGTCTTCTTCCGCCGCTTGATTTTTGACGGAGGGTTGAGATGATTGTGATGCGCAGCGAGTTTGAGGTGATGAAAGAAACATTGCGGCGAAGCATCGGTGAGAGAAGAAGAAGCAAGAAATTAAATTTAGTGCTGTTGTGTTGTGAGGGACAAGGATCGGTGATTTAACCCTTTAGAGTATCACCAATATTGAATTCATTTTTAAATTCTGTGTGACCTATTATACCACGTCAATTTGAAATAACTCAACTAATTTTTCATTTTAATGTTACAATTCAAAAAAACTCATATTAGATCCCACAACTTTACTTAATATTTTATTCATATTAAATTTTATATCATTTAAAATAATAATTTTAATTTTTTATAGAAAATTATTCCAGTCTATTATATAGTCCTACAGATATATAGTGTTGTTTTAAGGAAAAATATTTCATTCCACTATATAAACTTAAAATTTAAAATAATAATTAAAATTAATCTCAAGTACATGACATATAATTAAAAATAATAAAAATAAATAACATCACATAATTAATTGTTAAGAAATTGAAATTTTAAAAGAAAATAAAATTGTGAGAGAAGATTTGTGTGTAAAAAAATTGAATTGGACTCATTTATAAACAAATTAATTGTTAAGAAATAAATTTTTAAACAAAGTTATGTTGCAGTTGCATTTTCAACAGTACCAAATTAATTGTTAAAAAATTATGATATTATGTTTTCATTTTTCACTATTAAAAGAGATTATTTTATTATTACTTTAACTCAAAACAACGTTGTTTCCTAAAGCAACCGTAGTGCTAGGTGGAGAAAAAGCTTCTATCTCCAATGGTGAAAAATAATTTTTAGATTGTGTCATGTTGGAACAATTATTCAAAAATCTCCCGTTGGAGATACTCTTATAAACTTTGGCCACTTTTAATCTATCTTAGTCTAAATAATCTTTCTTTTTAATAATACTCTTTTGAATTCTGTAATTTAATTTTGTGGTTGATTTTGATTCTTTAATTTAAAAAAATATATTTAATGATCATTTAATTTTTCAAAATGTATGTTGTTAGCATTTTTTGTTAAATTAGTGAGAAATTTAGTAATTAATTTTTGAAGTTTTCTTTAGATAATTATATGAAAATGACTAATATGATATGTATTTGAAGAGTTCAGGGACCAATATGATTTTTTTAAGTTAAGAAACGAAAAAGAACTTCGAGGTTAAATTTTCATAATGTATTTCATGTCCCTCAACTTCGTAAGTATATTCATGATATGTTGCATGTGATTTAGTCGGATGATGTGCAAACAAGAGATAACTTAACGTATGAAGCATCGCTCTTGCGAATTGAAGATCGAAAGGTAAAACACTCGAGAAGAAAGAAGATTCTTTTGGTTAAGGTCGTATGGGGTGGAACAGTTGATGGTAGTGTGATGTGGGAGTTAGAAAGCCAAATGAATGATGTCTTATCCAAATTTGTTTGTTTGAAGTAAATTTTCGAGGAAGAAGATTCAATAAGTGGGGAGAGTTGTAAGGTTCCAAAAATAATAAGTTGAAGGAGGACTTTCTCTAAAGACCATCAAGGGTTACCCAAAGTCATTTTGAAGGCTTAGTGGCGTAAAACAAAAAGAATACCTTAATAGTGGGGGAGACTTCCAGCCTTTCGCACACCATTTTGAAGGCCTTAACGAAACCTCAATTGTTAGAGACTAACTGAGAAGGTGTAGCATTGAGGACTCTTAGGACCTCCATTGCAAAAAGGAGAAAAGAGGAAAATAACTCTCATATTTTTTATAAGGAGAATGTAAAAGTAGAAATATGGAGAGGGAGAGTCGGAAGGTACGCCCATGGTAACCCTTTTCTAATGATGAACAACCTCTAAAACAACCATTTATTCGCCTTCTAAAAAAGATACGCTCATTTCCATCTGAAATGAGAGGATCTTTCGCTCAGTGGTATAAGAGGATTTAATATCTTTGACCTCTTTAAACACGACGAAAGAGACATTCATTATCTCTTTATTCCTGAAACATAGAAGAACAAAAAGAAATCACTACCATTATTGTAGTCGTTAATAGAACTACTAAAGTCCCCGGTCTCATAAAACTAAAACTTTACGCCAGCCTAAAGCCTTACTAGAAATTCTTTTGTCTAAAATCCCTAACTGGAGTAGTTACGAAAGGGAAAATGGAATAAATTATTACCTAGAAAGGTTGTAAATAGGAGAAGAACCGTTGGAAGCTTGCAGATGAGATCGCTTGAGCGAAAAACCCAGAAGAAGCTTGTAAAGAGTTATAAAAGCAAAATAAGTAAAGAAATGGAAAGGGGGACAAGAAAGCCTTTTATAGAGGAGTTAAAGTTGTGAGTGCTGTCTATAAATTCAACCGGGTTTTGAATGATGTCAAACAAGGTAGTATATCGTAGCGTTTTTGTATATTGGACGATGTCAACCTAAATTTAGATGTGCATTTGTCATTTTAGTCTTATGATGCATAAAAATAGTCTTTGAACAAGTTTGATAGGTCTTAGGCATGTCATACACATCAAAAATGAAGTTTTGTGTGCTAACATAACTGCACAGACCGACATATACGAGTTCAGGTCAACATATGGAAGATTTGGCTTTAGTACATGTTAGCACATCCAAGTTACAAATCGGCTTCCACGCTCCAAAAACGAAGCCTGTAGGCTCTGCCCACAGGTCACCTCTCAAGTTTCCTTACAGGCCGGCCTGAACACCTTCATAGGTCGACCTATGGCCTTCACAAGCCAACCTATGCAACTTCAAACTTGAAAAATTCTTTTTTCATCTTATTTTTCTTACATTCTCTTTGCATATTTCCACTTACACATATATATACTCATACATGCACCTTCTTCTAGTTTAAGGGTTTTTTAGAGATAAAACCTAAACGAAACCAGATTACAAAGTTGCCCATCATCTTCATCTTTTCTTCTATGCTTACACACAATTAAACTACACATAATCATTTTTCGATTGGGTGACCATCTATATTAGGGTTGATAACATCCAATTAGGTTTGGAGTAACCGAGAATATTGGGTTCAGAACTTTGTGTGTTTCAAATAAGAAAACCAAGGTGGGGTTTTCCTTCAAGATCAATTTGATTTGAATGTTTCGGACAAGATCACATCAACGCAGATTCAACAGAGTGAAGTCCTTAGGACAAGGTGATTTCCTTGCAAGGGAGTAACGCGAGACGATGAATTGTGTTCGGGAATCTTGGATTCAACAAGTTGCATGCTTAGGATAATTGAAGGATTGTAGCCGCATTGTTGGTCACTTGATCAAGATTTTGATCAAGGGTTTTGAGGTGGAAGAATCAACACAATACATTAGGGTTTTTTGGGGTTTGCATTCTTCACCTCTTGTATAAATGATTTTGAAAAGAAAAGGTTAATTACAAGTATCTCAATTTTATTTCAAATTGAGGGAAGGCATACGCATAGTGAGACCGATTGGGGAACCACCTAAACAAATATTGGTCTCTCTCTCTCTCTTTTATCTCTTTATTGCTTTAATTATTGATTTTGTAATTTATCTAATTTGTCGTTGTTTGATCAATTCGATTGGAAATTATTTTTCAATTATCTTTAAAAATGTTATTGTTGATATAATATGTTCTGGACTGGGCCCAGGCCTGCCCATCCGTCAGGCAGGCCCAGCCCAACGCTATTTGGGGAAGGCCCAAATTTCCCAGTGTCAGACACAGGTTTTCCCGTTGACCAGATAGCTCCCTCGTCGAGCAGGACAATCCCTCCGTCGGGTAGGACAACACGTCTTCTACATGTTCTCCACGTGCCCCCTCCGCGGGGACACGTTATCAGTCAACTACCCACCTCTGAAAGAGATGGTCAACCCACCTTTCGGAGATCACGGGACGGTTGAACTAGGGCGAAGACCACGTGCTTGTCTTCACTACGCCACGTAAGCTCTAGCAGTCACCTGGGTTGGGCTTGACAATCTAGCCCAACGCAAGTGACCGTTGGCCCTGCGCTGGGGTCTCTCTATAAATACCCTCTTTCACAAGAGGGTCAGGTATTCACTTCTTCACCTTTCTTCTGTATTTGCTCCCATTCTGGTCCATTACTCACTTTGACATCAGAGTGTCTTGCAAGTACACCCCCTCCTCTTCCATATTTCTTGTGAGCAGCTTGCAGATCAATGGCGCCTAGCAGGTCCTTGGTCCCCTTCTGATCAGGTAGGATCAGTGGCGCCGTCTGTGGGAACTAAGCTTCCACGTTCCTCTGAGCAGATAACCAAAGTTTCATCCGTTCAAATTTCAAGATCATGACTAGCCAACGTCACGATGATGTTGTCCACAACTCCGCCATCGCCCCAGTCACCAATGATGATAATCAGTCGGGGACGTCTCAACCCTGCGAGATCGACGTCAGGGACGGCCAAACTTCCTCCCCTTCATCCGAGGATGCGGCACACCATGTCGTTCCTCAGGCGAGGAGCCCTGTGGTATTCCAGCTTGTTCCCATACCGGATGGGGAAAACTCGACGATGTTTGCCCTCTTTGCAGCCATCAACCAGACAAACATGATGTTGGAGAGGCCCGCTCCCCTCCGCGGGGAAATCAGTGAGGGAACTCTCGGAGCCCCTCTCCCCAACCACGGGGGCATCGACCACAGCTGGAGAGGCCCCAACCTGTGGCCTCCAAGAAACGAGCAAGGCCACCACCCCGGAAGGAGAGGCGTTCCTCGGAGCCAAGGGCGAACAAGCCTGAAGCCCCAGTCAGAAGACTAAGGAGGTGTAACCCGCCTCCTCGACACAAACCGTCGCCTCCGCAATCCCCGGTTCACAGCAATGAGGACGACTATAGGACCCCTATGTCACGGGAAATCATGGCGACCCCCATCCCCCATGGGCAAGATGAGCACGCTCGATAAATTCCACGGGCGATCCAACCCGATCACCTTCTACCTCGAAGAGCTCCCCGGGGGCCCCCTAACTCAGCCATACCCCTGTTGATGCAGACACAAATGGACAACTTCGACGTCCGCCGCATCCTGGTAGACGGAGGGAGCTCCATGGATATCATGTATACCCACCTCTTCTCGACGCTTCAGC